AGTGCAAAACCCAGGGAGGGCATTAGCCTCGGGGATTACCAAACCCAGTCAAAAAATGGTAGCCCGGGAACAGGGAATGGTAGTAAACGTTGAAAGGCCCAATAAAAACATGAACAAGTAAGACGTTAGAGAGCTATTAATGCAGGGTAAACGGCTATATATATTCTAAACAGACAGGGTATTTCTCCTGAGCTGATCAGGCGTAGAAAGGGGCGTTTGCTACCCATTAGATAGAAGAAAATAGCTAGAATGTTTTTTATTTGAAGCTTATGGTATGAGGTTCCATATCCATCCGCCAAAAGGTATAACCCCTATATAGTCCATTTAAAAACCTGTGGTATCGTTCAACCATAGTTGGCTTCTCTTTCTAGGGTACCTAGTATGCCACTATTTGGTGTCAAAATAAAGAGGAGTTCAACTTTCATATGAATTACGAAAATAGCGATGTACAATAGGTCAAAATAGTTCCGAACGTGAGCATGTTTACTACGCGTTTGCCCGTCATATCAGAATTGAGGAAGTGGTAGCAAACGCGAGTTACAATAAACGGACGCTGATATCTCAAAAAGTAACCTGACTCCCTATAATTTGATGTAGGTCAATCGAACCCCTATATGGACAGGTGCATTTTGATATATAACACTATGGGGGGTAAGCGTTTCATAGTTGGTCACAAACGCCATATGTGCAAAGTATTGTTATGAATTTTCGAATTGTTGGATTACGGTACTCATACCTTATAGCACAATTTTTGATGGAAGTTGCATATGGCTCCCTTAGTTAATGGCCACGATTCCATCTCGCATGAGAGAGCTATATAACGAAAGTAAACAGTGATATATTCCAAATGAGATATTTCTCCTGTGCCATGGCGTAGTAAGGGATAGATAGCGACGGGGGCGAAAGCATCCCCTCCCCTAACTGTATATATCGACCCATTAGATAGAACAAGAAAAGAGCTTTAAAGTGCCCGATAAACTATAAAATGCACATGCGTCCAGGTGTTGATAAACTATAAATAGCGAAAACCCAGGGTTTGTCACCACAAGGTAAGCCAGGACGTGTTGAGAGAACAGCTAGTGTTGATATTGAATATACATGTAGCAAGATAAGTTTCCGTATTGAAATTACATATGGTTATTAGCAATACTTTGTAGGTGCTAAATAATAAAATATTTAGAGTATATATGAGAGAAATTGGTCATTTCGAACCTGTTGAAAAGTTTGTGGCTCTCGGCTACACCGGGGAATTTACTTCCATGAGTACACACATAAATGTGGGGTTCCCCAAGAGGTACGCGACAAGGTGACCTGGCATCAAATGTGCGACTAAATGCTACTATCGAGAAGATAAAATAACGAATACGACAATAAGTTATTGCATGTGACAATTCCGAGCCTTCATCTCACTGAAGTATTTTGAAGTAAAAATAGGATTTTTGTTTTGATACATGGATTCAGATGAACGTAACTTTATTCTGACAACTAATCAAAACTGAACAAAATTGATTGTACGTAACAGACAATTTATTGTTTTACAATATTTTGATTGGCTAAACGAATGAAACCAACAAATGATGACATGTAAAATGACAATTTTGAAATGTAAAATTTAAAAGTGACAAACACAACCTCCCTATCCACTCTTTGGGAGCCCTAGTAAATTAGTAATATGTACATGCAGCAGTGGTAGTGTACAGCTTATTATCACACTACGCTTTGTATTCTAAAGCCTGTTGTTTGTAATAACACTGTTCACTCATCAACGTATGTTTTGTGTGTGGGCAGTCAACGATAATCATTGTCGGTTATATGACCTCGGCAATTATAACAGAACCGTACTAAACGAAAAAACGCAAATAAGAGAAAGCTTTCACACACATATAAAAAATGAACTAGTCTAATCCGCCAGTATAAACTCTGTGCTATACGTAGCCGGGTCAGGCGCACACTTTAAAATGTTTTTTAATTGAAGCTTGTAGGACAATTTTGATGGAAGTTGAATCAATTTTTATCGAAATAAATTATGGCTCACTACAAGTTAATGCCTGTACGATTCCATACTGCAAAAGAAGCACTATGCCCCCCCCCTCAAAAGAAAAAAAGTAGGTCTTGCCGGGATTCGAACTCGGGGCGGAGTGTGTTCGAGTCGTGCTCGCTAACCACTAGGCTACCAGTGATGTGGTTATGTCCAAGAGTAAAAGTAGTGCATTTATTTATGAAATTGTCGGCTCTCTAGCAAAAACACGTAGCAGCCACTTGCGTACCGACAATTGTCGGTTCTCTATCTGGCACTACTAGTTGACGATAGAGTGCCGACAATTGTCGGTACCCCAGCAAATACCCCTGGACAGTCTCCAGTACCGACAATTGTCGGTCCTGGAGCCACTCCGTTTTAAAAATGCCAGGCTAAAATGTTCGACACTTGAAGGAATAAACTGGCCAAGTAACGTGTTTTAACAACTTGGCATGGAAACAGTTAGAGTCCACGCGAGTCCACGAAAGTAACGTTTTATCGGCAAAGTACTGTGTTTTGAAAATGCTTACCTAAAAAATCATCCATTCTTCGAGGAGAAAAGTTAGAGTCCACGAAAGTAACGTTTTATCGGCAAAGTACTGTGTTTTGAAAATGCCTACCTAAAAATCATCCATTCTTCGAGGAGAAAAGTTAGAGTCCAATAAAGTAACGTTTTTAAGGCAAAGAAACGTGTTTTGAAAATGCCTATTATAAAATCATCCATTCTTCGAGGAGAAAAGTTAGAGTCCAATAAAGTAACGTTTTTAAGGCAAAGTAACGTGTTTTAAGAATGCCTACATAAAAAATCATACATTCTTTGTGGGGAGAAGTTAAAGTCCGATAAAGTAACGTTTTATTGGCAAAGTACTGTGTTTTGAAAATGCTTACCTAAAAATCATCCATTCTTCGAGGAGAAAAGTTAGAGACCAATATCAATAAAGTAACGTTTTTAAGGCAAAGTATCGTGTTTTAAGAATTAATGCCTTCATAAAAAATCATACATTCCGGCTTTTGTGGGGAAAAGTTAAAGTCCAATAAAGTAACGTTTTATTGGCAAAGTACTGTGTTTTGAAAATGCTTAATATAAAATCATCCATTCTTCGAGGAGAAAAGTTAAAGTCCAATAAAGTAACGTTTTTAAGGCAAAGTAACGTGTTTTAAGAATGCCTACATAAATGCCTACAAAAATCATCCATTCTTCGTAGAGTATGGTTAAGTATCATACATAAATGCCTACATAAAACATCATCTATAGTCATGTTTGACTTTCCATAATAACAAAACGAAAAAAACGGTACTTTTAAAATGTCAATATTTTCTGTCCCTATATCTTGACACTGTTGTATTTCAAAGTGATTATTTTTTTCAAAATCATCTACAATAATATTGTGAGCAACTATGTGGTGACATTTTGTCATGTTAATGCCTTGTTATTCAATTGTTTAGTAAATCAAACATTCATTTTTGGTGTTGCTCACCATTTAGTACATTTATAAAATAGACTAAAAGGCATAATCCTGGAATAGTACTCAAGGGTACACATTTGGAGTCAACATGTAAAGACCTATACCCGTTCATGCAGCAATAGTGTAGTATAGATCACCATGCATTTACAAAAGGGATTTTTATTTTGATAAATCAATTTCACCTTTTATTTGTGAAGTTTCAGGAAGTTTGTGAAGTTTCAGTATCTTATGTTTAATGGGAAAAATTAATATCTTGATTTACCAACAAGTAGTTGCTGTTCTTATATGGGCTTGAAGAAATGCCCACTGAAAGAAATGGCCTAATTAGTTTAAGTTTAGTTTTAGAAACTAATGGAATAAACTAGGAATTTATACAGGAACAAATAGAATGTGGGTTTGTCAAAACAATACAACTACTGGAATATGTCCAGGTGTTGAACTCTCACAGTCTTTTTACATTTCTCCTTATTTTCGTGCCTGTTACATGAAAAATGATGATCTATATGTTAAAAACATAAGGTATAACTTTAGATCAAACAGTCTCTCGTGGAAACAATGAATTCCTTCAATTCTCGGGACTCTTGGAATATCTACAGTGTTGTTTATTTAGTTCATCTGAGCATCTTTACTGTAAACTCACCAATAACAGTGCTTATAATAATTGTAAAAATATGATGTTTCTGATGTTGCAAAGAAAAATTGCCACACATTAAAGGTAGTTGCTCTAGCATCCCATCAAAGAACATATTCGTCAATAACCATTCTAATCAATCAAGAGACTCGTCTTCATCATCTGTGAAAGGTTTTGAATGAAACATAGGCTACATGGTTTCTGTTCATGATGTCTTTCCCTTGGCCTTCTTGACATACCTTTTTCCAAATGGGCCATTTCATATTTTCCGCATTATGACGTAGTATACCATGCATGTTTATTGAAAAAGTTAATTATAATATCTTCATTTTCAAGTTATTTATTTTTTACTATTGTAATGCCATTTGACGGAAAATAATATTATATTTTATTTATTTATTATTTCCATGCCGTGATACTCGTTCTCTCATTGGTCAATGTGACTCAGAATATATAGAGGTATTCCATGTCTCCCTGCTTAAAAGACGTGTGAAGAGTGTATTCACCGGCAGTGACGTCATTTTAAGTGAATACCACTATGTATTCAATTTAAATGACATCACATCACTTAATTCCCGGGAATTTAGTAATTAAAAAAGTATTTCATCTGATATGACAGACGGTGAAGTTGTATCAGGAAGTCCTCCCAAGAAAAGGTTCGAAACTGTATAACAAACGTGGGATAAAGATTTTACAAATGTATTCAAAAAGTCAACTAATCAAAGCACGAAGACTATGGACTTTAACATGGAATATCAGAATCTCATTTTTATCCATGGTGTGACGAAGATCTTGAATTATAACAGAATATTGGCAAACGTTTGGAAATACTTTGAAAGTAAACGTCATATCATATCAATATTGTGATCGTTGAATAATTTACAGTGTATATATTCAACACCACAGAATTCAATATTTGTATAGTATTTACAATTCAAAAAAAAGTAATAGAAGTAATAAAACGATTAATGACATCAATGAAGCTGGAAATAGGTCTTTCCTGAATATCTTGTTGCTATGGAATTTTTTTCGAATTTCTCAAAATAACTACATTTACACAGCCAATATAATTCGACGCCGTTTCGGCATCGAAAAAATTCGGCACCGTTCCGGCACCGTTTCAACACCGTTCCGGCACCGAAACCTTTTGACACCAAAATTTGCTACCAGACTAGTCAGTCCACTTGGTGCCGAAACGACACCGAAATTTGGCACCGAAACGGCGTCAAAAATCAGATTGCATTTTGGGGGTGTAGGCAGTGGGTCGGCAAAAATGGCTGAGCATTTTTAGGTCCGAAGTTATGAGAGGGCATTGTTTTCTTTTATAAAACAAATGACTCTGCATTGGATCTACAGATACAGATTATAGCAAGAGATTGTTCTCTGCAGTGCTTATTGCTGGAAATATTAATTTTTAAAACCTTTTCAGATGATATTTATCCATATTTTGGTATATTGTTCAAACTAAGAATACATTAATGTCAGATTTAGTCCAATGGTTTTATTTTTATTGTGACCTTTTGAAGAGCTTTTAACCGTATATCTTTAGAATATTCAGCCCCCCATAGAATGCATCTTCCTTGTGGTTCACATTTTTCTGATCCACTCCAAGGTCCAGTAAGGAGCGAAGACAAACAGGCATTAAACCACCAACCTGCTTCTTCCTTTTCAGCACAGTTTTCACGTCCATCCCTATCATTATCTTTGTCATATGTTGAGAACTGCATGTCATTGTGGTATAGTTTGTGTAAGACTACAGAAGGCCAAGACTCTTGAAGGCCCTCAATAGTAAAACCATCTCCTGCTTCACCTGAATAATTCCCCACATGTAGCCTATAATTGTCCAATTCAGATCCAATCATGAAAGTATTATATTGAGCATATTTGGTGATGTTTCCCCAGTCCTGTAGCTCAATATACAACATATAAGGACTCATATGTGTAAAGACATGTAGGAATTCATTCCCAACATAATGCTCACCATTGAGGTTACCAAAGCCTTGTTTGTAGTCAGTCCAGTTTCTGTTGAAGTTGACAGAGCCATCTTCTCTCCTGATGACTATGGTCCAGCCCTGTTCACAACGTACGTGGAACACCTGTTTGGATATGTTGAATGAGAGGTTACCATTCAGTGTGGAAACATCAGAGCAATCTAAAACACATATAAAGTAAATCTTACCTGGTTAGATTCTGAATTAACATATAGCTGCTACATATAGGTATCAGATTCCTGTCAATCTGAACAATGTGTTTAAAATGATATACATTCTACATTTTGCAATCAAAAACAGACTGCATGACTTTTTTTATCAGATTTAGTGAAAATGATTACTCTCTTTCATTTCATAATTTTATTTCATAAGTTAGGAGTACAAAGTTTTAAGGATCATTATGAATGGCATGGTAGGTGCTTATGCAGGTCAAAAGGTTCCAAAACTTGCAAACAATTCTGGTTGAATTTCATTCTTTTTAGTGTGCAAAATATTTGACAATGTGTGAAAAGAATTTAAGCACAGAGGAAAGTTGTGGTTCAAATTTTATATGCTGGCGCTAGGGACATGAGGTCTGCTTGATTTTCAAGATGGCAGCTGAATTACAAAATGGCCACCAATTTTTGTTAAAAATGTAATCAGTGATAACTCAAATACATTTTACATGCATTTTATATACAAGGTCACCAAATCAGGAAAATTGTAATGATAAGGAATGCCAGAGACAAAATTTCCAAGAGCATTACCCAGAAGACAGGAAAGAAATGGTGAAGAGGAGCTAACAAAGGCAGAGGACAGGCTCAAGCAAAAAATTTTGGTGAGGAGGGTAGTCAAAGGAAGACATGGTTTAGAATTCGGTAGTAAACCACTACCTAAACGCAGCATCATACAGCAAGAGGTAAGGGAGAGTCTCGAGGAAGATAGAAGAGTTTGAGATGAAGAAACAAGGCAAATGGATGAAATGGGAAGATGTCAGAGAAAGAAAACTAACTTGTAATGAATGATTTATGGAAGGAGGAGCCACAAACTGTTAGCGTTCTGCTAGCTCAAAGCACATATGGTGTGTTACTAATTCAAACTACATGTAATCTAGTCACCATTGGGCTAGCAGATGGTTACAGTGCCCATTATGGGGATGTCAGATGTAAGATTCAGATGGAGACATGATGACCCAAGTACTGAAAGAAATAGCACAAGTCATTGACACAGAAATGAGGAAAAAAGAAACAGGAAACTCAGTATATTAACTTTGTCAAAGCAGGAGAGGGCACGACAAGTGGAAGTAAATAAGTGGACTGGAATATTACATACAGCAAATGTAATATTCCAGTCAACCCCCTCCCCAATTCAAATTAATTTAATAAATTGAATGTCTTCGAAGGTATTATAAAAACACACATTTTTGTCTTTGTGTCTTAAGAGCAGTGTCTTTGTATCAAAAATGAGGAACTTTCCATGGTAATAAAATTGAGGTGATTACCCAAGAGTCAACCAATCAGAGAACAGTGCCTGTTTTCAGCAGATCGAAAAATGATAATACGTAAACATCCTCCTGTGCAGCCAATTTTACTAAAATGATTTTCGTAATTTCAAGGTTTTACCGTCGATATACTGAGATTTCAGACAGCGATCGGACCAAACTTGGAGTTAAGAAATGTTGAATAGATGAGCAACCGGACATAGGCGAAATAGTGGATTGGCTACTTGATAAAACTTATCAGTCCGAACTCTACATCATCGGACTCGTCCCATGGTCCAACGTTTAAGAAAAATACTGGTTGAGGCACAAAAGTTGTGTTGAAGTCGACCTCTCTGACCTTTCATGAAATCTTATTATTAAAGTATAACATGGTGTTTAGTTTGGATGGTCAATTGTCAAAGTTATCATGTGATTGTTTTAATAACATTATCTAGTAAATTAATGTTGAAAAGCAAATAAGCATTTTGATGGTTTTGTTATTATTACTTTTCACCTGGTTTATGGCATAATCATTTGCCTACAAAATGCTATCGTTGTTTGTAGTTGTGATAAACAGCCTTGTTTTGGATTATGCTGCAGCAGGTTTGGAAACTGACATATTTAATTTATTGTCCCTTTTCTCCTAGAAATCCCTCTACGATACGCATATCACATATATTTTCAGCTCATTAAATCAATGTTTTAAGCTTAGATTGAAAATAATTAAAAGACAAACAATATTGTTCTTTGTATTTTTCATAAATTATTTTCACGGGAGATTCGACTTTCAACTTTCAATTTTGAAGTCGACTTTCAGAGAAATACAAGTTGATGTCAACTTCTCTTCTCTAGTTGTTCTAACACTATATTTTCTACATGTATTGGTTTATTATGTACTTGTACTGGTTATTATGTACTTGTATTGGTTATTATGTACTTGTACTGGTTATTATGTACTTGTACTGGTTATTATGTACTTGTACTGGTTATTATTATTATGTACTGGTAATATTAATTGAATGTGTGCGCTTATACTCACCAGTCACCTGTGGCTGAGGAGTTGTCATTCTCACTGTAGTTGTCTCATTGGGCACAGAGGAAACATCAGTCAAAACATCATCATCTGGAAAATAGAATATTGTCTAATGAACTATCTGAATCTCATTTGAATGCTTCATAATTGTGCCTTGCCAGGTTGAAAGACAAGTGGAACTTAAAGAGTGGAGTCAAGTAAATCTTAAATTGCATTACACTTTCTTTGATTTCCTTTGTCATTTGCCATCAGATCAGCAAATTATAAATGTATATATTTGTGCTAATTATTTTGAAATAGATGATATTCCACTGTACCTGTGAAGAATCCAGCTATAGCCATTCCAATAAGTATGCATCCCACACATAGAACCATTATAAGTGCTACAGCTATGATGACTTTACATGCCCTACGTCTGTAGCATGGCTTATTGCCTACAGTCGGCTGCATCGATACAGATGTATGGCTCAAAAACTTCTGCAAAGTGCCTTTGTTTGGGTTGTTCAATGGAAGACTTACTTTATCAAGGGATGGTACAGTTGAGTAGCGTTCATCATTACCAGTCAGTTCAAAGGCTTCATTAACCTCACCAGTTTTGTCAACAGGAGCAGTAGCTGTTTCATCTTTTGTTTGCTTCACCAGCTCTTCTTTGCTATTAATCTTTGCTTTCCTCTCTTTATTTTCATAGCTTTGTGTTATATGCTTTACTATTGCCACTGGTTGTTTCACCAAGTTGTTTAAGGTTTGGTGCTCAGTTGGTTCAGCAGGTTGAATCTCCCCTATGCCTTCATATATTTCACCTTCATAATCAGTATCAGAATCATCACTGTCTCTGTTATTGTTATTTGGTTTATTATCATCCATCAGTGCTGTTTTGTTTGTGTCCTTGGGAACAGATGTTGTCTTATTCCCAATGTTGTAATAATCTGGAAATCCTTTTTTGCTAGAAACCCCTGTTGTATCTTCATATTTCTCCTCTATGTTCAATGGTTCGTACATCTCATCTTCAGCTTCTAGTGGCTTCTCAACCTTCTTTTTGCTTGCAAGGACAACATCTTTAGGATCAATCTTTGCTTGTTTCTCTTTGTCTTCATATCTCTCCTTTATACTTTTCACCTTTAAACATAAAACATAAATTCAGGTTTATCTGTATTGATTGTCAGTGTTGGGATATGTTTTTACTGCTAGCTTGGGAGAATGCAGTTTAAGATATATTATGGAACACCAATCATCTCTGCAGGTCAAGTCTAAATGGGGATTAGGAACAAATACAGTCTTAAATTACTCCTTGTTGACCCATTTCTACTACAAACAAGGTCATTCACTATATTAAGATTTGATATTACTTTTCCAGGTAAAACCTTGCCCTATGTGTGGCTATTCTAAGCTGCAACTACAACTCCTCTTCTTCATATCAATATTTTTAAGTACAGGGCGGGCACCCATGCATTTAAAACATACAGTTCTGCAATGTTTAAAGGCCCCATGTAAAGTTTAAACCACTTTGGCTTATATTGTAGTCTTACCCAATGTTATCAAAGTGTGATATGTGAAACTTTTTTTTTAAATTTCAAAAAGTGGTTTTTGATAGACTTTTTGTTCCAAAATTTGTGAATTTATTTAAAACCAACTTTTAGAGGTCATTCATATCTTCTAATTAGCCACAATTCATACCAATGCATAGCATTCATCCTCCCATGTTTTTTGCCGAAAAAATTCAGAAAATCGGTTGATAAACAAGCAAGAAATGAACTTATCAGTGCATGAACATGGTTCTGAGAAAAAGGCATTTCAAAATTTTAGTTCTCATAGAAACCAATGGTACAATGATATCTGAAACATAATTTATTCTTCCTTTTAACCTGGTTAGACAATCAACATTGGTTTTTTATGAAAGTCTAGCATATTTAGAAAAGATTGACATCGAAAAAAAAAATTCAATTTTTTTCAAAAAGTTTTTGTTACCTTAGTGACATCACTAATGTTTCAAAATATTTTTGATAAGCTAAAACATTGAAGTGGCCCATTAAATATGACATTTTGTTATTGAAATAGTGTGTCTTTTGTTCAATCTTTGCATTGGTGTTAAAAAGATAATCTTTTTTGAAATGCATTAAGAAATATTTGATGATTAAGAAATTTCAACTTTTTTTGAAAAATGGCGGGAAATTTGAATATTTGAGAAATGAAATGCTCACAACTTTTTTTTCAAAAATTTTTTTTTGTTCAAAAATCTCTAAAATCACTTTTTAAGTCCTGACAAATAGTAAATGAATGATAAAAAAATATTTTCAAACTTTAGACGGGGACTTTAACATTTAATTTTGCTTACCTGTGGTGGTAGGGGTCTTGTTTTATTAGTATCATTTAAGGTGTTGTCACTAGCAGCCAAGAATTCAGAATTTAAATAAGTTGGCTGTTCATCAGACTTCTTTGATGATGGGAGTGTTTTCTTGACCTCTGGATTCAATCCTTGGATTGAAACCGATTTTTTAAGATATTCTTTCATAGTGTGATGTTTTGCAGTTTTTAAGTGAACTGTTTATTCCTTGAGTTTTGCTTTATATTTTTTTCATATCCCATATACTGTACTTTTACTTGCATATGAAAACATATTGATGTTTGATTTTCTAAACATTTAAACACCAATATGGTTAAGAATATAACATCCAGCATTAGAATTCATGGACTGTTTTATCAATAATGAATTTGTCAGATAAGTTTTAAACTTCCTCATTGGGAGTATCATAAAAAATGGAACTCTTGAATCTGATATTAATGTTTGTTCAGTTGGAAAAATATAGCATTTTGAATTGATATCAAAGACACATTTTATATTATACAAAAATGCAAAAGATTTTTAGTTAAATTGGTTAGAATTGTGAAAAAGTTTGAAGACTTTAAGCAGGGGAGGTGGTTTTAACACGAAGTCTTTTCAAAGTCTTTTCAAAACTATTGAGCAAAACCAAACAAAAATAATTGAATTGTTTACTTTGAGGTGAAAGGTATGATTTATTGACATACAGCAAAAGCTTTTCAACTCAAATTCTGAGAACTGAAAATACACTGTACATGTTGTTTAAAATAGCATATTATATGTTCATTATACACGGTGGGGATTGTCATCACGTGACCTTCGTAATTGATGGTGTCTGAACAAGCTGTACGATTTTCTCGATTAAGCCAGATAAATGAATATTTTTCATATTTATATTTTGTTAACAGCGTCAAATTTCTCCCCACTTATGTATACTATCTCAGTCTTTCAACTGAACCTAAATTGACAAGCAGAGGACGCATATTATTTGAGATATGACTGTTTTTCGTTTCGAAATATGATGGTGTCTGAACAACTTTAAAATTCTGTATGATGGTGTCTGTTCAAATTTTTTGAATACACGACATGGATACCAGTCTCCATGTTTTCATGTGTAATTGTTTATTATCATACTATGCATTCCCGTACTCTCGTATATTCAAGGCTTTGTATAAAAACCTAGTACCTCGTACCCACGTCCCGACCCACGTACGTGGGGCATGATACAGTCTTTGAAGGGTTCAATTTTTTAAATATAAGATCATTCAATCTTCGTCTATGCTGAATTGTAAATGCATTAGTGCACGTCGAAAAAGGCGAACGCATTCCGTTCGGACTTTTCACGCGAGTTTAGTTTTTATGGTTCCTTTATTTAAACAGTCTTAATATACAGCAAAAACAGGGCCTAAACCATTATTGGCCCTGTGGGTAACAACATTTGAATTTACATAAAAGATGGCTCTCCTGTTTGGTGAAATGAACTGATTGTTTTGACTCATCATAAATACATGTTATTTTAGACAATTTCTATTATCTTACAAAGAAAATCTGTAAAAGATTTAAAAACTAGACCTTTAATAGAATTATTCAATGAAATGTCACCAAACGCGAGTTCCGTATGTCACGCATTTGCTTTGAAATATGTGTATAATGTATATGTCGAGCATTTTCTTCGAAATATTTTGTACCATTTTGGATGTTGACTATACTCGTGCTACAAATGTACAAAGTGGATTAAGAATATAACTATACAACTGAATAATAACTCAAGGGAAATTGGTAACCTGCCTAGAATGTCAAGATAAGGCTGTCCCAAGGTTAAGAAGGAGCATTATACCCAGCCCATTTGATAGAATAATTGACTTAACATCAGGATATCATCAAGTCGATACATGCTGATATCCATATGCTAAGTCAATGGAACCAAATAAAATAATAAAACAAAAAATGAAATGAAAATCAAAGGTTAAGGTCAAAATTGTCTTTTGCTACATTCTTTATCATAATTTCACATTTTAAATTTTGTAAACGATGATTTTGCACGCAAGATTCTTTTATTATCTGATATGCACTGACTTGACCTTTACAAGGTCACTATGGCCTCAAAAACACTTAGGATGCACCTGAACACTATGCCATAATTAACACCTTACATACTAAATACCATATTATGTCAAAATGGTCATGAATGACCTGGGGGCAGTTTTATATACTTAGTATGACGGATCTTTATCTATTAATGCTCGTTCACTAGAAGCAATATTCACTAAAATTGTCATGTCACATTTTTCATTTGCTGGGGACTTCCAGGAAGTCGTCTTTAAGGTGTGACTATATTGCCACATTTAGGTCGCATTACAACCTTGTCTTTATTGGTGTACTACTCTCCCCGTCATCCAATTCGGAATAACCATCCACAATTGAGCAAACAATTACACTTTCGCGTGTTGGGATGAATTTACGATCCCCGAGACTAAAATCATCATTCCCCTTGCTGTGATTAAACAAAATGAAGCACAGAATTCCATTTAGCAAATCCCCGACATATTAAAACCTAATTTAGCGTAGATTTTCCCTATTGGACAAGCCTTTGAATGGCGCTATTTTTAAAAAATTGATCGGATAATCCTTTAAAGCTTTTAAAATTGAACCCTTCAAAGACTGTATCACGACTCACGTACGTGGGTACGTGGGCATAAGGTACAAGTTTTTTTTATACAAAGCCTATATTTAATAAGTTAATGTACAATGCAGAAGCCAGACCCTATTAATGTTACATAATTTTGCTGAGCAGTTGACTTTAATCAGGACAATGACATCACGAAGAAATCCTGTATTTTGATTGGTCAGATTTCTCTGGCCTCTCAAAAGGTGACTGGCTTTACTGAATAATCTTCTTCGTTCACTCCGCTCCCGTCGGAAGTAACGCAGTGAAGACCGAGCGTGCGAAGATGCTGAATAATACCATCCCTGGGCAGTCTAAATCGATTGATGGATTCATTTTATATTGTTTTATTCAAGTACATCAAGTAATCTTTTGTAATATTGGATAAATAACGTCTGATCAAATAACTTAATCGCCCAGTTTCTGGTGACAATACACGATGTATCTAAATTCCTCTGATGGATGATTGCCCCACACATGATTTGCAAATCGTTCAGTGAATGTTGGAAATTCAACCAATGGATGGCAATGATAACAGGCAAACAACACAATTCTAGGTTGATTTCGGTTTAACACATTGGAAAGAAGCAAATGTATTTAAAACACACGAAAACACGAGGACTACTTTCCAAGTAGTGTATTTTAAAATTTGTACAGACACCATCATGCAGAATTTAAAAGTTGTTCAGACACCATCATTTTTCGAAATAAAAAACAGTGATATCTCAAAAATATGCGTCCTCTGCTTGTAAATTCAGGTTCATTTGAAAGACTGAGATAGTATGCACAAGTGGGGCGGGATTTGAAGCATTTAACAAAGTATAAATATGAAAATTATTCGTTTTTCTTGCTTAATCGAGAAAATCTTACGTCTTGTTCAGACACCATCAGTTGCGAAGGTCACGTGATGACAATCCCTACCGTGTTATAGGAATGCACAAGGAACATATCATATATTGACTCTCTGATGTCATTAATGAAAAATTAGTCTATGTATGAATAATTGTTAGTCAATTCTTTCCAACCATTTCATATGTCAAATTAAATCCACAGATTTTAAACTACAGGTCCTCAAAAATAGTCCATATTTTTCAAATGAATTGAATTAAATGATTCGAATGAATCAAATTTTACTAATGATGTGTGGGCGATTCTTTAACTCTCTCATGACTGAAAATTTTGGGGAAAATGAGAAGAAACTAAAAACTAAAATGTAAATGAATCTAGAAGCAAGAAAAGGAAGCAACACCCAAGAAGTTATATATCATTTTGAAGGGCTAGTGTCATTGTGACGTCATAATTCAAGATGGTGCAGTTGGATTTTTTCAAAATGGAGCCTCACAATATGTGTGAAAACCACAAGTTAGAAGAGCTTAAATAAGTGGCAATTAACTGAACAATTTTTTTTAGATTAAAAGGATCAGGTCGTCCAAAAGCACAATTAGAGTAACCCCTCTGGTATTTTCGTGTTATATTATGTAAATCAAGTATTTCTATCGACCTACCAATGTTGGGGCTTAAGACAATTCGTTAACGGCATCAATTTGATGATTGTTCTCAGCCATAATTTCACCCAATGGTAATTGGACAAATGTTCGATCTGTGATTGGCTGCCTGGGCTCAATATCCCGGCAACCGATTGTATTTGCCAAGACTGACGACGGGAAGTTTGATGCTCAATAAAACATCGTTATTTATAAAATCAGATTAAAAAACCAAAAAACATACATTTCAACAATATCAGTCAACGCTGATATCAACAACGCTGCATTTGTGACAAAAATGTAGTGGGCCCAGCTCCAATCCTTACTGAATGGATTGGTATCGATATGGTGAGCTGAATTCAACAATGTTTTTTTCTTAAACCAATTATTGAAAACATTCTGAAAAAACACGGTACTTAATATGTAATGTTGACTCACCCACACATCATTTTCTGAGACATAAAAGTGCTTATTTTTTCGTCTTTAGACACTTATTTACCAGTTGACGGATTTGATTACAATTTTACAGGCTTATGCCTTATGGGGGTAGAACCTCTGCTCGAGAAGGAATTTTCAATATGGCCACTTAATTCAAAATGGCTGCCATTTTTCGGAATGATATAATCTTTAATAACCCAAATACAAGTTGATGGATTTGGTTCAACTTTATATGCTGATACCTAGGGACAAAGGAGCTATGCTGTAGAATAGATTTCCAAAATGGCTGCTAAATATCAAAATGGCAGCCATTTTCGTAAAATCTTTAATAACTCAAATACCAGTGAATGGATTTGGTTCAAATTTTGCATGATGATGCCTAGGGACAAAGTAGACTTGTTCTCGAAAGAATTTCCAAGATGGTGGCTGAATTTAGAAATGGCAGCCATTTTTCATAATAAAACTTAATCTTTGATAACTCCAATACTGGTTGATGGATTTGGTTCAAATTTTATATGCTGCCTAGAGACAAAGGAGCTATGTTGAAGAAGAGATTATCAAAATGGCTGTTACATGCCAAAATGGCGGCCATTTTTCATAAAAAACGTAATCTTTGATAAATCATGTACCAGTTAATTGATTTGTTTTCAAGGAGTGGTATCGCTATGGAGAACTTTTTGAACACATGTTTTTTTTTAAACCAGTCATGAAAAAAATCTAAAAATTTAACACATCGTCAATTTAATGGCCATCTTTTGAATGGTAACAATATAATTTGAAAAATATATATATACTTTCATCTATATTGTTTTAGAAAACACATTAAACACTTTGTTTTGTTCTTGGTATCATGTTTCCAGAGTGAAATGAAACATCTTTCCGAAACCTCATTGGAACAAAACGACATAAACACAACATGTTTAGGTCTCTCAATATTTTAATTGTACAAAGGTAATTTTGGTTGATTTTAATAAAGTATCTTGTTAATAAAATAAAAGGTTTATCTTGATTTTTATTTTTTCATGAAAAACGTAATCTTTGATAACTCAAATACTTGTTGACGAATTTGGTTCAAATTTCATATCCTGATGCCTAGGGACAAAGGTGCTACACTGAAGAAGAGATTTTTAGAATGCCTGCTAAATAACAAAATGGTGGCCATTTAAAAAAAATGTTATCTTTGATAACTCAAATACCAGTGAATGGATTTAGATCAAATTTTATATGATGATGCCTCGAGACACAGTACCTCTGTTTGACAAAGAATTTTCAAGATGGTAGCTGAATTTTAAAATGGCCGCCATTTTCCATAAAAATGTAATTTTTGATAACTCAAATAGCAGTGAATGGATTTTGTTCATAATTTATATGCTGATACCTAGGGACACAGTAGCAGTAATTTTGGAGAAAATTGTCAGAATGGGAAAAAAAAATCATGTACACAAATACTGAAAGCTGTATAGCAAAGTAAAAGTTTATATTTTAAGATTTATAGATCCAGTCAGTTTGTATTTGTTCATTATGCTGAAATCTAATATCATGTAAAATATGTCATAAAGATAAAAGTTACAAGTGTTTGTGGTATTGAGGCACCCAGTATTAATTGAGAAATCTAATACTACTTTACTTATAGATAAAACAAAAACTGAGGCTTTTGTAATTACCATGCCAAAAGTATACTTAAAATTTAGAGGAAAACCTGGAAAAGATGCAAGGAAAACATTAATTGGAAATGGTAATCAAGGAGGTTACAAAATGATACAGTTCTGCGGCCCAGGTCATTTGTGTCTAAAACACCTAGATTTATTTTGACTTTGGATTCTTGTAGGGGACCCCAAGGCATGTCAAAAAAAGTTTGTGAACCCTTGCAAAGCAGGCTCAAAAGTGCTGAGTCAGCAAATTTTATCATTTTTGAGTCTGAGTTTGACCATATTTTAGAAACTATTTAATATCTCATTTGAGAATGCTGCAATTATGATGAAACATGGTAAATACACTATATGAATATGGCATACATGTATATGAAAAATTCCTGAAAGTTTGGGTCTTGTTGGGTCCAACCGAATGCAATAAAGTAATATTCGATAACTTGCGTTGTTGTTTGATATTTTGTCACGTGACTTCGAGATTTGCAAAATGGCCGCGCAGCTATTCTTCATAGTACAAATATATCACGTGACTGAAAGTCTTGTAAATTATCGAAAAATAACGAAATTTATCGAATGTGGCATTCGGTATTTACCGAATATAAATAATTTAAATACTGAATGTACAAATAATTAATTGAATTATACGTGCGTTAAGGAAAACAAATTGATTCGCTGCATCACACAAATACATGTATAAATATCAAATGTGAATGTCAATACAAAGAACAAGTGAAACTATTTAGCGAATATAAATTGTATAGATTATTACATTTGATAAAATAAAAAACATTCGATAGATTGGGTAAAGGTTTGGTAAATTGTTTGTTTTATTTGGTATTTATGGAATATTAATGTACCGAATAAAGAAGCAGTTTAAACACCATATCCATAAGCCAGCTGCGATATGGGCTGTTTTAGGTCCTTTTTGTGTCAATGGAAAGATTGAATATGTTTCAACCCACATAAAACTCTAGGATGATAAAAGTACATGTGTAAGTTTTTATTTAGTCAATGCACGCTTAGAAGTATGTGAAGCCTCCTCTCAAGCCCATTTGAATATGTTTCACACATTACTGTATACTGTTTTAGGTATAATCTGTCATATATTACAGTATGTATGTAATCTAATTCTGTATTTAGGAGAAAAAGAGCGATGAAGAGAGGGCTGATGAACTTCACAACAAGACATCTGTGTTCCTGCATGCATTGGCCACCATAGCTACACACAGTGATGTCTGTGAGAAGCAACCCCTTTATGCAGTGATCAACTCTGTTGAGGAGAGCAACACTGACATAACCCTAGTCAAGAAGGTTAAATGTTTTTATGAATCATTGAATTTTTAATGATCAATATTATTTTGATTGGCATATACACCTACTCTTGATGCATTTTATTAATTACCAATCTATTACTATCTATTTTATTTAATGGTTTTGATTTATGTATTTTGTGTTTTATTGCTGTAGCAATTTGGTATCTCCTTTACTTTTATAGTGCATTGGATTGATAGACCATGAGGTTGTGGACATCACTTTGGAGTAAACTACATAACCCTTTTAAAATTATTATTAGTAAGCCTTAGCTTATGATTTCCCTAGTTCCCTACCGTCACACTATGTTTTAATGTGAATCTCTTCTCTCTTCAGGTCCTGTGTGAGATAAGCAGGCTGAGAGGCTATAAGAATTTTGGCATCTACATGCAGAGCCATCTATCATACATCTTACATAGATGGTTGGACAACCACAAGCTCCACATTTTCCCATATCAACTAGCTAACTGTACTTCATTGGAGAATTTCTTCAGGTATCAGTCTTGTTTCAAGCTGCATAAATACTAGCTAGTAAAAAATACCCCTGACGAGCCTTTTTATTATCCCAACCAACAAAGTTCGGTAGGGATATAGTGAAGCCGTCCATCCATCCATCCATCTGTCCGTCCGTCTGGAAGATAACTCGAATGCTGGTTGAGGGATTTGCTTCAAATTTGGTGGAAAGATGCATGTTGGTGAAAAGTTTTACGCAAATTTTTTTTTCAAGATGGCTGGAATATTTGGCGAAAATCTTAGGTTTTCTATTTTAAACAAAAGATATGAATGTTATTGTTTGAAATTTTGGAAGTATATTCACAACATCTATCTATGTCACATATATTCCGAGTTTTTCAGCCTGACCCACAGGGGCTGTGTATTGGGGTCAGGAAAGTAGGATTTTTTGTTACTTTTAAGATATTTCTGAAGTATAGCTCTATTATACTCAAATGAAAGGAAATTTAGAGTAGATTGTATCGTTTTTCTGATTCAGGCCATGATAATTCAAAATGGCTGCTTAATGTGGGATTTCGCAATAATTTCTTGATCTCTTCAAAGTATGACTATATTACACTCAAATAGAAGGAATTTTAGAACAGATCACAATTATAGTGTTGTTTTCTGATTCTTGCTTCATAAAATTCAAAATGACTGCCGAGCAAAAATCCACTATTACTTAACCTCTTGAACCCCAGGTTCTAAAATAGGTTGAAACCAGATAATTTTGCATTTTTGCCAGCTTTTGACATTTTACTACATACATATACTCAGACGATGTTCAATTTAGTAAAATTAAACGGCAGAGATCATTTCTAGACATTTCAAAACAATTTTTTGTGTAAATTGGATAAAAATTGTTCAAATAAGAGCAATTTTAGTGAAATATTTTGTGATGGATTATCTCGTCACTCTGGGTAGTCAAAATGTTAAAGATCTCTTCAAAGTATGGTTACATTATACTATTATATAAGATCTCAAATATTGTATTGTCTTTATGATTTGTGCCTTTGAAACTCCTCAGTGGTCACCCAGATGCTTGAATTGGAAAATCTGATATATCTCTGTAGAACTTTTAATATCTGCCAATTTAATCAAGGGTTACTAGAGTATATGGTAAATAATACATTGTGACATACATAATATATAAATATTCGTAGTGTTTGTTGGGATTTGCTACTCCATGGAGTTGCTGATTTCTAGTTGATATATCTGAGATTCTTTAAGACTACATTTATGTGTGCATTTTGTATTTTTCCAAATCTTCAGCTGAAAAACTAAGAAATTTGTGCTTCAAGCTAAATATCTGCGATTTGCAAGTGCTTCTGACCATGTTTTAAGTATCAAAATAATGCTTAGAGTATTGAGACTCAACTGAAGTTAAAAAATAAGGTGAAATGTACACAAACTCAGTGATTATGACCAAACAAAAACGGGAGTCCAAACCGGAAGTCAAAAGAGTAACTGCACTTTCAGTCTAATAACTGAATAATGAAGATTGATGGTGCTCACTCTATCATGGCAGCATGAAATAATTTTGTTCAGAGTGTTTAAGGATTTTGAAAAATCTCAAGGAATCTAATTTGTGAATTATTCAAACAAATGCTGCGTAGATCTAACAAAATCTTAGCAATTATAGCCACTACAACCATTTTTTATGGTAAGGTAATAGATCATGTTCATGCATCATTATCCCACCAAACGAGGTTTGAGGGGGATATACTGTAAAAAAGCTGTCCTTCTGTTCGTCCGTTTATGTGTCCGGCCAATAACTCAAATACCGGTAGATGGATTTCATTCAAATTTTATAGGCTTATGCCTTATGGATGTAGGACCTCTGCTTGAGAAGGAATTTTCAATATGGCCCCTAAATTCAAAATGGTGGCCATTTTTCAGAAAAAATATAATCTTTGATAGCTCAAATACTAGTGGATGGATTCGGTTCAAATTTAAGATGCTGTTGCCTGGGTACAAAAGAGCCTTGCTTAAGATGACATTTTCAAGTTGGCCACCATAGTTCAAAATGCCAGCCATTTTTCGTAAAAAAACGTTATCTTTGATAACTCAAATCAAATACTGGTTGACAGATTTCATTCAAATTTTATAAGCTTATGCCTTATGGGTGTAGGACCTCTGCTCGAGAAAGAATTTTCAATGTGTCCACTTAGTTCAAAATGGCAGCCATTTTTCGGAAAAAATATAATATTTGATAACTCGAATACTAGTGGATGGATTTGGTTCAAATTTAATATGCTATTGCCTGGGTACAAAGGAGCCTTGTTCAAGAAGACATTTTCAAGATGGCAGCCATATTTCAAAATGGTGGCCATTTTTCGCAAAAAAAGTAATCATTGATAACTCAAATACCAGTGGATGGATTTGGTTCCAATTTTATATGCTGATGTTTAGGGAAAAAGGAGATCTGCTTCAGAAGAAGGTGGCTGCAATTTATCGAAAAGGCATTTTTCATTAAACATGTAATCATTGATAACTCAAGTACTAGTTGACGGATTTGGATTAAATTGTATATGCTGATGCCTTGGGACATAGGAGCTCTGCTAAAGAAGAAATCTAAAGATGACAGCTAGAATTTCAAAATGGCAACCATGTTTCATAAAACCATAATCTTTGATAAATCAAATACCAGTGGATTGATTTGGCTCAAATTTTTTATGGCAGCTATTTATCAAAACATGTTTTGTTCGGTGGGATTTGCTACTTCGTGGAGTTGCTGTTTTTCTAGTTGTGACTAAAACTCTTGCTCCTGTTTATACTCTGATTTAAGTTATTATCGAATAGTCCAACTTATTATCCCATCGCACAAAGTTCGGAGGGATATATGGAACGCCTCAGTCCATCCGTCCGTACGTTCGTATGTCCGTCCATCTGTCCGTCCATCCGGGCAATAACTCAAATACTTGATTTTGTTCATATTTTGTACACATATACCTTATGGGGGTAGAAGTTCTGCTCGAAAGCCGATTTTCAAAATGGCCACTTATTTAAAAATGGCGGCCATTTTAGTGCCGATTTTACAGTTATTTAGGTACAATATGTAAAACTGTAATAGCAATATGTTTTAAATATAAAAAAATTATATGGGACATTAATAAAGCTAGAAATGTAGGTATGTTGACATACCTATTTTCTTAAAATGTATGGATAAACTATCAATTTTAGCATTAAGAATTGTAAATTCAGTTCAAAGCTTCTATAGAGGGAGTCCCATTTATAGATTTCTAAGATTCACCATGTTTCAATCAGCTGAAATAATGTTCATCCAGAGGGTTTCTTTGGAAATAATGAAAAATATATGTTAGTCTTGAAGAAATAAACAAATTTAAAAATATTTTGACGCTTGTCCATGATCGTTGAATGGCCCCTCTGCACTCATTGTTGCACCTTTAAGTTGAAAATATAAATATTTGGTGGCCATCTTAAAAAATGTGTGTACTCATAATTATGGCACATTGTCTAATAACACTTGGCAAGTAGGCGGCCATTTTGAAATTCTGTTATGTTTGTTATTTTATCTCAAAGAGTACCATTTCAATGTCAATTTTACAGCATTTTAGGTAGAACATATAATACTGTAATATTAATATGATTGGAATGCAAAAATCATATAGGATAATAATTAAGTTGAAAATCTAAATATTTGGTGGCCATCTTGAAAAATGGTTCCCGTTTCATGCTATTTAAACTGTTTTTTTTATGATAAAGAAACGTAGTGGAGTGATTTTATTCATATTTGATATATCAATATTTCATATTTGATATATCAATATTTATAAGCATGGCACACTGTTTTATGACACATTGGCTAGTAGGCAGCCATTTTGAAATTTTTTATGTGTGTTTTTTTACTACTCAAAAAGTAGTGGAGTTATTTTGTTGAAATTTTATGTGTGCTACTTAGAAGTATATTACACTTTCTAATGACAACTTGGCATGTGAGCAGCCATGTTGAAAATTTCTGGCCATTGTTATGCACGTTATTTTACAATTTTTGCTGAAAAAGTTGTGGAGGGATTTTGTAAAAATGGCAGCCATGGCTGTTCGATGGGATTTGCTATGCTATGCTATGGCGTTACTGTTGACTACTTTTCAAAGTGAATTTTTGACATAATGATCATGTCAGGAGCAACTTAGTCACGGCTAAATTGAATTAAGGTAAATTTAAGAGGTGGCAACAAAGGTTTGTATGAAGACTGTCCTTTCATTTGGATCCTTATACAGTATAACGAAGAAAAAGAAAAACTAAGTACCATCACATACTTACAGTACATTTCAAACAGAATAGAGAATGATTTGTTGTAGGTGCAACTATCAAGCAATTGTTCCCTACCTGGCGATGAACAGAGACCAGACTGGTCTAAAGGCATTGTGTGATGTCATACAGACCACCCCGGAGGATCTCCTGCTAGAGTGCACCCCTAGAATCCTTGTCCACATTCTCCCTTTATTTGCCGCTAACAAGCACTGTAGTCTGAAGGGAAAGGAGGTGAATCAGGCAACCAAGTGTTATGATTGGCTGATCAAGCAGATTACTGTTGAGGTATTCTATAGATTTTGTACATATTTTTTGTTTCACATATAGCCTATGGAATCACCCTCTCCTCCATCTGTCCAACCTTCCTTCTGTTTCTCCCTCCATCACCATCAGGATTTTTAATGATTGTAACAATTTTGTGGGAATCCATATTGCTGATTCACACTTTCGATACTGCCTGAGCTATAACATTTTCTTCATTATCTTTTTCACTATCCCACTGAACTAAATCCGAGGGGATATAGAGAAGTCTGGTTCATTCATTCTCATACATTGGAAAGTAAAATAAATATAACATGAAAATAATATACATAAACAAAAATGACAGAATGGATCACATTTTATATGCTCATGCCTTGGGACAAAGGACCTCTGGTCAAGAAGAGATTTTCAAGGTTGGCCACAGAATTTAAAAATGGTCACTATTTTTAATAATGACTTTGATAACTAAAATACCAGTGGATAGATTTAGTTCAAAACTTTATATTCTGATGCCTAGGGATACAGGAGCTCTGCTCAGGAAGATGTTTTCAAGATGGCCACTAAATTTCAAAATGGCTGTCATTTTTGTGAAAAACATGATCTTTGATAACTCCCATACAAGTGGGCTGATTTGGTTCAAACTTTGTATGCTGATGCCTAGGGATACAGGAGCTCTGCCCTGGAAGATATTTTCAAGATGGCCACTGAATTTCAAAATGTCTGCCATTTTTTGATAACTCTCATACAGGTGGACAGATTTTGTTCAAATTTTATATGCCGATGCCTGATACAAAAGGAGAACGGAGCTCTATTCGAGGAATTTTCAAGATGACAGCTGATTGAGCTGAATTTTAAAAAGGCTGCCATTTTTGTAACAAACATAAAATTGCTGTTCAATAAGAAATTTTCAAGATGGTCACTATTTATAAAAAGATGTTTTGTTCAGTTGGATTATTACTATGTGGAGGAGTTACAACTTTGTTCAAATGTGATACATCAATACTCATAAGCATGGCACATTGTCTTATGACAATTTTGCTGGGAGGTGAAAAACATATATTCATTGAAACCTCCATTTTAAATGGCAGCCATGGCTGTCCGATTGGCTCAACCTTGGCATTATCTAGTTTCATAATATATGAGGGGTGCAGTGAATAATAAAAGAAAAGGATGCTTATTAATGGACCAATTTTCACATGTGATACAACATTCACTTATCTTTTAAGCATGAAAAGGATAGGTATCGAAATGGTGAACTTTTTGAACACACATCTTTCTTAAACCAGTAATCAAAAAATACTGAAAAGTTAATAATATCATTTGAAAAAAATATATAAACTTTTCTCTACATTGTTTTAGAAAACACATCAGACACTTCTTTTGTAATTGGTATCATATGTTCAGAATGAAATGAAACCTCTTTCCGAACCTCATTGGAACAAAACGACCGTATTTAGGTCTCTCAATATTGTAATTGTGCAAAGGAAATTTTGGTTGATTTTAAAAAAGTATCTTGTTCATATTTCTTTTTCAAAATCATCTACAAGTTATCAGAAGTTCAAATTTGACTTTGGATTTGAGATTTGACCTTCAATCACCTTCACAATCACAAGTTCAAAAAAGATCAAAAAGGTATTTTTCAACTTGCTTCAAATTGACCAATCTTTTTTTCAAAATCATCTACAAGTCCTCAATCCTTCAAATCTGACTATAGATTTCACCTTCAATGACATTCACAAGGTCAAAAAAGATTTGACCTTCAATGACATTCTCAAGGTCAAAAAGGTCATTTTTTTACAAGTTCTCAGAAGTTCAAATCTGACTTAAGATTTGAGATTCCACCTTCAATGACCTTCTCAGGGTCGAAAAAGGTCTTTTTACAACTTACTTCAAATTGACCAATTTATTTTTTCAAAATCATCTACAAGTTCTAAGAAATTCAAATCTGACAAGATTGAACTCATAATATTGTGAGCAACAAGGTGGTGGCATTTTGTCATGTTAATGCCTTGTTATCTATGAGGTGATATTGATATCTGCACGAGAAAGCAAAGTGAATGAGTGCATATTTCAATATCACCGAGCAGATTAATATGATATTCTAAAAAAATCATTGGATGTTCTTATTATCTTTCTATTAGTGTACTAAATGTATAATATTATTTCATGTCTGTAAATCAACAAGCAGAGTATATCGTCACAATATCCTCTGCATATTTGTTTTCCGGAGGATATCGCCAGTTATTCATTTATTTAGTTATTTTTAATGTTATTATTATACATTTAGTACACTAAGTGTAGGATAAATACAAATATCCAACTCCACATCATTCAATATTTGTATAATGTTTGACAAAGCAAATCAACACTGTAACAGTGTATCACCTGACAACCATTATGTTCTATTTGCAGGCAGTGAAGAGTTGTATTCTAAAGCATATGGATGAGATAGTTGTTGATATACTCATGACCCTGTATGACCCTGGTAACTCAAATACTGGCAAGGAAGACACAAGGTAGAGTAGAAACTTATTCATTTTATTTGGGAAGGTTTTCATACTAAAGTGCTGAACATAGTTTGTGAAAGATATAGAGAAATCATCAATCCATTCATTTGTCATTCCATCCATTTGTCATTCCATTCATTTGTCATTCCATTCATTTGTCATTCCATTCATTTGTCATTCCATGTATTTGTCATTCCATTCATTTGTCATTCTATTAATTTGTCATTCCATTCATTTGTCATTCTATTAATTTGTCATTCCATTCATTTGTTATTCTATTAATTTGTCATTCCATCCATTTGTCATTCCATTCATATGACATTCCATTCATTCGCCATTCCATTTATTTTTCATTCCATTCATTTGTCATTCCATCCATTTGCCATTCCATTCATTTGTCATTCCATCCATTTGCCATTCCATTCATTTGTCATTCCATCCATTTGTCATTCTATTCATTTGCCATTCCATTCATTTATCATTCCATCCATTTGTCATTCCATTCATTTGTCATTTTATTGATTTGTCATTCCATTCATTTGCCATTCCATCCATTTGTCATTCCATTCATTTGTCATTCCATTCATTTTCTATTCCATTCATTTGTCATTCCATCCATTTGTCATTCCATTCATTTGTCATTCCATTTATTTTTCATTCCATTCATTTGTCATTCCATCCATATATTATTCCATTCATTTGTCATTCTATTCATTTGTCATTCCATTTGTTATTCCATTTTCAAAACATTTTCCATTTTTTGCTAAACATACATGTATGTTTATAGCTACCATATTAGGAGAGAGATGGTCTGGCAAGGAATATCCCTTTAAGATTGAACTCATAATTTTTTGAGCAACTAGGTGGTGACATTTAAGTTAATGCCTTGTTATAATCTTACTGTCTTGTGTTCTTTCTTCAATATTATATTTGTGACATTGCAATTTCGAAAGCTTAATCTCTCCAGAGTCATGTAAAAATCATGGAAGAATTACTTTAAGTTATAAGACAAGAAGGTTTTACTTAATCAGTAAAAGTGTCTCTTCGATCTGAAATGAGAGGAATTTGGTGGGTTCATTCACCTGGTGGCGAAACTGGTAACTACCTACTCGCATCTGAGTGTAATTAGAGCCCATAGTAAATGTAAGTAATTCATATTGCTTACCATACTATATATCTTAACTTCCAAGTACCCGCAAATGCGTTATTGTGCACGAATCGAAGGCTATATTCTTGTTATATCGGAAAGTGAGCGATTCTGTCGGTGTTACATATATTTTTGCCTGAAGATCACTAGTCTTCTATGCAATGACGACATCGATTCATAAGGAAAGTACTCCCAATATGTGCTAAAACCACAAGTTAAAAGAGTTTAAATAAGTAGCAATTGACCCAATAATCTTTTTTAGATTTAACTATTTGGACATGTCCAAAATATTCCAGTTAATGATGTTTAATTGTTATTGGACAGTTTGGTCTCCAGATAGCCCGATATGGTTAGAAAAACGATACTTTAGAATGCCATGCATCGATTGAAGTAGGGTAAATGTTTCCAAAATTTCTTACATTTTTACAAAAGACCTTTATAAAGGACTGGGAATACATGTATCAACATATGCAAGGCTATCTCTCAGGAGATAGCTTTGTGCAAACTAAGTAAGTTGATTTATGGAATCATTACAGAATTTGATACTTCAAAATGGTTAAAATCGGACATGCAGGTTTAATGCAAGTAAAATTCATCCCCCCTGGCTATGCCCATGCTTTTTGAAAATATTGTTTTGGACCAAATCATTCATAAAATGTGACTAGCTGAATTAGCTAAAACAGCTGCAGTAGTTATAGTGATTTAGATTATCTAGACTTAATTAAAATGTCATGACCTGCAGAAACCAGATGGCAACCTCTATGATTTAAATCTATTTCAACTAAAATTAAACATTACATAAAACCTGTACATACTGAACACCTATAAAGCCACAAAAAAGTGTTCATTGTAGGTAGGGTCACTACAGAAATATATTCTTATATACTATATTATTGTTATCGTGGTTTGGGTGCCGAGAACTAAAGAAGGGGCGTTAACATGGCTGGGGGGTGCATCCCCCTGAGCTTTGCCTTGTCGCTCATCATTTTGAAAATTTGACTGGTCGCTATTTTTAATTGCCTCGTCGCTGATTTAAAAACTTGACTCATCGCTAACTTTTAATTTGCCTCAAATAAGTTAAAAATGTTGCTTTACTTTTGCTTTTGCTTCACACTCACTTTCCACTGCTATGGACATAAATAAATTTCATAAAATTGAGAAGAAATGTTTCGTTTTTGATGCATTAAATGCATTATGATCGCCTAATGTAAGGAATAACTTCACTGTTACTCAAAATCTATTGGATTTGCCAATTTTATATATTATTTGCCTCGCAAATATCAGAAATATCTGCTTTCATTTTCAATGTCTTTACATATTAATAAAGTTGCATAAAAATTGTCTAAACATAGAAATACTATAATGCAATTATTTTCAGAAGAAGAGAAGTTCATTCTGATACTAGCATCTTTCTGTTTTACCTGAAAATCTCTGAGAAGAAATGACACGCCTAACCATCGACAAGGTACAGTCACGTGACCGTGACAAAATATGCCGTAGTACACTTTTGATGTACAATGTCACTATTAACTGATTTTAAGCAAAGACTATGATGTAGGTTTGATGGAGGTTTTCAAAAATAAATTTGAGGAATACAAAAAGGATTTCCTGCTTGATTTTGCGTGCATTCGATTTCAAAGACATTTATTTTTCTAATTACGTTAAAAGATCTTCGAGCAGTGCTCGATTTTTTTCGTTGTACGTCTACCCATACAATTGTTCGGTTGGAAAAATGTTGTTTTTTACACATTTCCTTTGATAATTTTCTCCCCTGACGTCTCGGAGTGTCGAATATTTTAATGAGAATGTGTTTCTCTAAACTGCACAATTTAAGACGGGTTAAGATTTAATAAATATTCATGCATTTGGTATAATTTAAAAAATCAGAAATGTACGTTGTCAACTCACAGTGTATGTTGTCCATTTAATTGAAATTCATGAGTTATAATATTAAACATTGCAATGATTTAATTTCAAAATGCATTAAGGGTTTTATGCGTAACAAGTGATGAACATGCTCCTGTATCCCTAGTACAGATAAACAGGTAAACGTGATTTTTGCTATTTTATTTTATGAAAGTGTTAATATGGTGATTAATATGTGACCATGGCGTGATATCTTCCGACCTTTTTGGCCACTCGGCGTCGGTACGTTACGTTATGTTTAGTTGCACTTTTATGAATTTTGAATAATCTCAAGGAGTTCATGGAGAGATCTATACTAGCAAGATGACTTTCAAAATTTATGCTATAGGGTGTCCCGAAAGTATAGGCCCCCTAGGCAGACATATACCAATGTATCCATAGTATGTGTCATATATTATTTTAAAGCTCATCCAAAGTTATATTAATTTGCCGAGTATCATGGTTCAACTCACATATGGAAAAAGTTACAGGAATACAAAAGTTAGTGTTTGGCCAAAATTTAAGTCAGTTTTACACCAAAACAATAGTCGGTGTGTCTCCTTAGCCGCCATGTTAACAGCACCAATACTTTCCATATATGACCTTAAACAGGCTTCAAATAGGGATATGGCGTTTTGTAATCCTCATGAAACCTTTTTAAGGCATAAGAAGAGTTTCCATGGAGTATCTACCCTAAACGTCATCTTTTTAGAACTCAATAGCCATCCTATCTTCGGGAATGGCATCCATATTTTCTGTCACAGGGTCAGGGCTGTTTCCAGGATACTGAAATGAATCTTTTTGACAAAACGCTAATTTTTGAAATGCCTGTTACTTTCTACCATTTGAACCATCATATTTGGCAAATCAATGTAACTTTGGTTAATAAGCTTAAAAATGATATATGACACATGGAGACATTGGTATATGTCTGCCTAGGGAGGGGGGCATACTTTGGGACACTGTATATCTGGAAAGTGCAGAAGTTCAAAAGCCAGGTATGGAACACAAAAAAAGAATTAGAAGTAACATTGACATTTAATCATATCAATGACAATTTTATGGATTAACGGAAAAAATATTAGGGTAAATATATCTGATATGCCTATTAAATATTATTACTTTATTATCAAATATGTTCCTTCTATTACACGTACATTTTATAGCATTTCATTCACTGTAAAATTAACTGTGAATTGAGATCTGTAAGGCCAATGTGACAACATACATTCGAGTTGACAACATACATTATCTATTTTTCGTAGTAGCATCCAAAGTAAAAAGCGGTTTTGCATTAACTCTGAATGTATATTTGTATACTTATCTTAAGTTGTGTTAGTCGTAGTTTGGCTGTTATTTGCATAGCAAAACAAAAATTAGAGAGAATTTTGAGAAATTCGGTCAAGATTTAGAGATCCCTGACGTGCTGGGTAGATCTATAACAAGATATTGAAGTTGCTGAGGATCATTTAAAGTAGATATGCATATTTGCAACTTAATTACAAATCGAATGCAACAACTACCTGATGATGAACTGACACAATATTGATCAAATCAATGCTAGTTCTTTCCTCGCTTCCTCATTCTAGAAAATGGCGATCTAAAATGGCAGAAATGACATAGTACATCAAAAGTGTACTACGGTATATTTTGTCAATGTCACGTGACTGTACCTTGTCGATGGTCAGGCGTGAATGAGATGTCATGGTTTATCATGTTGAGACAATTTATTAAGCAACAAAACGTGTAAACACTATTACAAGACAATTCCTCGCAGTTTATTTTAACATGTCTAAAACGTTAACCTAACAATTTTAATCGTTAATCAAAACATGAGAAATGTCCATGTCGTTTTATTGTCCCTTCTTCATCATTTACTCCACTTTCCACATTTACGGTCATTTTTGGCAATTTTAAGATAAAGATAAGTTAAAATATAAACATGATCTTTAGAGTAGTGAATATTATTCCACATTGTTAAATGAATTGTTTGTTAAAATTTAATTAAATAACACAAAAAGCATATTTAGTACATATATCTGGAATTTTTGGTATATAATAGCGATTATGTACTATGAAGTATGATGGAATGATCCCCAAAATAGATCCGTGGGTATGAAAAAGAACATTTTAGGTAAAAGCCAACTTATTTTAGTTTGTAAAATATAGACTTTTCTTACCTTTTTCTCCATTCAAATGAATGTTGTATTCAATGGTCTTACAAAACAAGTCCAAATCGTGTGAAAATGATTTCCATCGTTAACACTTAGTCACCACTTGATAACATATCTGATATCACATAATTTTTGGCGGATATTATATTTGAGCTTGTAAGGAAAACATTGCTAGGTCATTTTTAGATATTGCTTACAATTTTGTCACCCCCTATAGATCTGATTCTGATTCATTGGTTTTCATGGGAATGTCAATTTTCAAAAATTCATCAGATATGCCATTGATTTTTGACCTTGTAATTGAGGAAAACATTTAAGAAAATTTGGAGGTAGAGAAAATAAAGTCAAGTCAAGTTACATCTCATTTGGCATTTTTAGTTTTTTCTTTGTAATAGAGAGGCTTTAACATGTAAGCCTGTGGGAAAAAAAGGTTGACAAACTTATGGAGGGAAGTGTATTAATAAAACATGTTTTGTTCAGTTGAATTTGCTACTCCCCGAGTTGCTGTTTCCAAGTTATGAAATAGGTATGACATAGGAATGTCGAGAGCAAAGATTAATGTAAAATTGTGTTATGCTCTCTAGTCTTTCTTGCACTTTACTATTCTTATTTGTTAAAACCTATGATTTACTGAACTGAACAAATGGTCAGATTTTGTTAGGTTTTATAAAAAAAGTCACATCAATTTGAAGTTAATCTTTACAATATACATTTCACTAAATACGATGTACATTGTACATGTATAACAATTTTAATTTACAGTGCCATATGTCCAGAGCCTAACCCACCTTTCTATAGCAGGGAGATTGTAACAGCCACCTTAGAGTACTTAAAGGAGAACCATAGCAGCAAGGCAGGCTCCATTGTATCTCTCCTTGCTCGGACACATGATGTAAGTCAAATACAAGATGTCAAAAAACAACCCTCTTATTTTGGAAAAGCTTTCTCATTCAAATGGAATCTTTTGAGTGGTTGTGCCTAAAACAGTGGTATGCAGAATAACCATAATAACTGCTTTGTGATTTAGAGAAATATCATTTTCACTCTTGGCAAGTCATTGCAATGGAATCACTCAAAATGTATTTTTCGGAAGAAATAACTTGTACAATATAAATATTACAGTATTACACCCAATGTAATGAAATGGAACAGATTATCACTTTGGCTTTGAACCTTTTTATGAGACACAAATTGTACACATAAAATGTTTATTTTATTTTTTTATTTGCTATCTTAGCATTAGATGTATCTCTATTACTGTCACAGATGTGGCATATATGCATCTCTAGACCTTCCAGCTGCATCACTTGCAATTGTTGCTTGATTTTCTCTTGAAAGCCAATGCTTTAACATATTGTTATCCCATCAAACGAAATATCTTGAAGAATTGGTATCAATATGGTTCACTGAATTCAACAGAAGCGATTTTGTTCATATTTGGTATTTATTTATTCATTCATTTAGTTATGTGTAACCTATCTAAGATAGCCAGCCCTACCTGGTCTTATGAGACACATTTTACATAAGTTACATTTTTAACAATACAAATATAAAATAAAATTAGTGCAGTTCAGTTCAACATTATTATTGATTCTGATTTTTAAATAAAACTCTTTTCCTTATATAGAATATTTTTTGCAAATACTTTCCAAAGCATTTAATATATTTTTTATTTTCAAAGATATCTTTAAAGGAATTGTCTTTGATTTCTTGAAGAAAAGACTTTCTAGCTTCTGAATAATACGAACACTCAACTTGTACTTTCATTTTCAATTTCATTTGAATTACAAATTTGGCACTGTCTTTGGTATGTAAATACTATAAGCATGTCACACTGTCTAATGACACTTTTGGTAGAAGGTGGCCATTTTGAAAAATGGCTGCCATTTTGAAGTTTTTTTTACTATAAATCGAAAAGTAGTTGAGCAAATTTGTTCATATTTGGTGTGTGAATACTATAAGCATGGCACACTGTCTAATGACACTTTTGGTAGAAGGCGCCCATTTTGAAATATGGCCGCCATTTTAATGTTTTTTTAGAATAACTCGAAAAGTAGTGGAGCTTTGATTTTGTTCATATTATATACATTGTACTCCTCAAAAAAAGTTAAGGACCTCATAGGTTTACATGTTAATCCCCATATTTGTTTAACGACTGTTTTCTAAGCGGGGAACAAAAGAAATCCCAATAAAGAAAATAAATCTGTATCTTGATTCTATTCACTATAAAGTCCGCAACGTTTCAATGTTATATCTCCATTACATTGGGTCAAAATTTGATGTCAAAATTGATGAATTTCATGAAATTTAACAAAAATGGCAGATCCCATGTTAAACAAATTGGGAATGGTTGGGTTGCCATAAGTCATATGAGGAACGATCCATCAATCCGATTGCTCTCAAAATTGAGATTGTAAGAGATAATTAAATTTGCTAATTTGTCTACTCGACAAAATATGATTTAATTGTCCAGGCTTTACAAAAGTTTATGGTTTCAAATTCAATAATTTTTAATGAACCTCTTATTGAAATAACACAGGTGGTTCAGTGAGGTGGTCAAAATTACTTTAACGCTCCGTATCGCTAATTTTAACAACATAAGCGAGACATTTAGCATGTAAAATGTAAAATCATTCAATTTTCTACTTAGAAAGTATTTTTAATAAATGTTTTGCTGAATAGATATTCCAAAATCTGAGTTGCCCCTAAGCCACCATTCCCCATTTGTTTAACATGGGAACTGCCATTTTTGTTACATTTCATGAAATTCATCAATTTTGACATCAAATTTTGACCCAATGTAATGGAGATATAACATTGAAACGTTGCGGACTTTATAGGGAATAGAATCAAGATACAGATTTATTTACTTTATTGGGATTTCTTTTGTTCCCCGTTTAGAAAACAGTTGTTAAACAAATATGGGGATTAACATGTAAACCTTTGAGGTCCTTAACTTTTTTTGAGGAGTATATTTGATATGTGAATACTATGAGCTTGGCACACTGTCTAGTGACACACTGGGGAGTAGTTGGCCATTTTGAAAAATGGCCACCCTTTTTACATGTATTATTTTACATTTTTTTTTACTATAACTCAAAAAGTAATAGAGCGATTTTGTTCATATTTGATATGTGAATACTCATAAGCATGGCACTCTGTCTTATGACATTTTGGCAAGTAGATGGCCATTTTGAAAAATGGCCACCATTGACATGTACCATTGAAATGAAATCCAAAGGTAGTTCTATTACTCCTTTGGTCTACATGGTCCTCCTTGTATACCAAGCACCTGTTTACTTGCCTGACTATTTTCATCCTTGCTAAGCCCCTTACCTACATGAATATCATGGCTGGAAATACTAAATCAAGTGCTCCTACAAGTACCCAAAATGTCCCCTCCTAAAAATATTCATAAATCACCCATATTTTTCTTTCATACACTAGGTATTGACATTATATACATTATACCCTATACAGTATGTGTGATACTTTTGAGACAAATGGAATCCATTGAATGTGTTAAGTTGCCTAAAATGTCTCAGTTGAAACAGAAATTTGAAAATTATTATAAAGATGAACCAATTCTTTTGAATTTTAGCTCTTAACTAAGTGTCGTTTAGTCTGAATAAGCCATTGGATGATAATAATAAGCTACAGAAATTAATTGTAATATACATGTAGAGTCAGCAATTACTTCATAGTAAAGGGTATAAACATGAAAAATAAACTTAAAATCCCTCTGGTACATTCATTTTTCTGCAGGATCACCTCATTCAACGCCAACTTGATATTATGTCCCATCTCATTACATGGGGTGTATATAGAGGTTATTTGATATGAGGGAAGGGTTATGAATTTTATTCTTAGGGAAAATATGATATGAATTTATGATATGAAAATACAGTATGATATTAGCCTCAGAAAATATCATATTAACTGAGGGGGATAGCCTGTGTGTCAATATGATATTTTCTGAGGCCAATATCATACTGTATTTTCTCAAGGAAAAAATTCATATTCCATCATGACCATCAATAACCTATTTATTCCATAACAGTTTTTAATACAGGATCTGAAATGGGATTTTAGCTGATACGGGATTCAATATGGATCTGATACAGAATTTTTGCTGATACAGAACTTGATACATGATTTTTTGAATATCAGTTATATTCCCCAATTATTTCCCAAAGAAAACATGTTATTATGGAATAATATGTTGGTTATTTGGAAAATAGGTAAAACAGATTTCTGAACTTGTAATTTAGAGCAATTTGATTCAAGATGAATAATTCCTGAAAGAATCTTTCAATCAAAAAGATGTTGATTCTATATAAGTATTCCATTGCCTCATGCATTAAATGCTTTTTGTAAACAGGATGTACACATGGGCACATTGTATTTTGTAGGATGGAATACAGAAGGTTCTTCTCTCACTCAGAGTGTCTCTCTCAACATCTCATTGGCCCCATGAAAGACTACGTTTCCTCCAGATGTATACACTTTTCACAGGGCTATTACTTCAAGAGTTCGAAGACCAGCTGGGTAATTCTTGGGCATTTGTTCTCCGTGATGTCACCTACACGCTCCTGCACACCATAGAGAGGCTGGGAAATAGGGAGCCCCAGTGTGTTGCCATGGCAGTAGATCTCCTCATCTCATTATGCAAGGTTACTGTACAGTGCTGTCCTCAGGTGAGTAAAAGTACATGTAGTAGACAATAACATGGTGGTAGAAATTACTAATGAGGGCAACAAGGATAAACACAAGCATTCCAGAGTACTGAAATTAGTATTTCATTTCAAAATGTACTAAAAACCCTAAATGCACTAAAGACCCCACGACCTACCACTTACTGGATGTCAAAAAATTTTGGGAATATATTTTATTAAAAACCCTTTATATATAACTTTTATTGACATCTTTTAAATAACGTCTTTGACCTTTGATATCTCAGCATAGTCCCATTTTTTCAAGTTTTAAGTTTATACAATGATTATGTTGGTATTAGCACTGCATCAAATGTTGAATTTCTAGTAATTTTTAGATGCGCAAGCCTGTCTAGAAACTCTGTGTATCTAGTTCTCGACGTGCTTAGAGCTGGTGTGGACAGACTGTGACAAGAGTGTAATTATCTTGCCGTGGCTAGTTAGTTGTAATAAGATTGCCACGTGGGGCTTTTGCGCTATATATGGGGACAATTAAACTAAGCTGAGACAGAATGAGAGTCATATGTTTGATATAATGACTCACAATCCTTGATTTTCATACACCTGGTAGATTTAAAATTCAAATATAACAGTTTTGGTTTCGATACGTCCCGAGTAGTTGGACCCCTATGATTGTGCAACTAATGCATCACACTTATATTTTACCTTTTCCTCAATTAAGATTATTTGAATGATAATCCTTCCGATTCTAATGATTTAATATGGTGATCAGAAGTCTGCATTACATGTAAATAAAATAGAAGTGCAAACAATACAAATCTGAAATCACTAGAAGACATTATGTGCCTCCCCAGTTACATATCCATGGAAATAAATAAATAAATATTGTATCCATTCACATGGTAAATGTAGGTCCTACCGGTACATGTACAGTAAGATTGAAAAACAATTTCTTCACTACTCTACAGTATATCTTCTGTAATCAAGGTGGTTTAGCAGTTATAAAAACAAAGAAGTATACGGATTAAGGAATTAATATTTTGTTTTCATTTGATAACAATTGATTGGTTTAACATAATGTTTGTCTCTGATTGTCAAAAGTGACCCCCCATTTGATTTTTTAAAAAGTGAACCTCCTCACATCCCAGGACGCATGCTGCACAATGCGCCAAGCCTTATATGGATCTATCACATGGATACCGTGTGACCCAATACCAACACTGAACTTTGGGAGATCCCCCTTGGGAACACTGTGGCTAGTCGATCTATGTGGATGCAGTCAGGCACATGTAATGTTTCGTGAGTACCCGCCTCTGTACTTTTCAATGGAAGAATTTTGCACTTCTGTTTAAATAATCTATATTTACTCATCCGTGTATATCATACTTCATTGATTTACAAAACCAAAGCTACGCTATAAACACACATTCTCTAATATTTTTACGGAGAATAGATAACTCAAACGAGTTCACTCGACCAGTTTTATCATCTCGCTCACAGCTGTGAGAAGGCTGTATAATTTGCTATAGGTTTACCTTGTAATGGGGAATAAAAAATTCAAGTAATATAATTATTTCACATACACAAATATGTCTGTGTGAAGTAAAATACAATTACAATGCGTTCTATAATATTTTTGGGGTTATGGTATGAAATATCAGCTTTAAAACAGCAATTTAATTATGATGTATCATGTGGATTAGTAGACGCTCTGATTGGATTCATTGAACAGACTGGCTAGGTTTCAATTGAATCATTTTGAATGTGTGTATTTTTAATATTTTAATCCACAGTGTCAAAAAACAATAATAATGCTATATTGGTAATTGGAAAGATTCGACTTACCACGATTTCAAAAAATTGTAAATAGATAATATTATTCTTGAATTGTGGTCATTTGTTTCAAGGAATCTGGAGGCTCGTTCAGCTGAGCTGACAAAATCATCAAGATTTACAGATGGTCTATCTGTTGGCTGCTCATTGTCACTTTCAAGGAATGTTAATGGCTCTGAAACTTGTAGCCTTGCCCAAGTCGGTATTTATTTACTAAGCTAATCTTGAATTATTACAACCTTAAACAATCCAATGCATCATCTATGATATTATGCTAAGTTATTCAGCGGTTCCGAGATTCCCATAATACCTAGGCTACCTAACGGTATCGCAAAACCATATTGATTGACAATATGGACATGGACACAACATGTGACTTCAGGCTGATTGACCAATCAAAACGTTATCAGGTTGACCTGCATAAAAAAGCAAACTACCCGTCTAGGACTTGAAATTCAATGATCTGATCGAGTTATTCTTGAGAGTTACAATATATTATGTTATTAAATGTACATTGGAATGTAAGCAGTCATTAATACTTGTCTAAATGAAATCATGCAATTCATTGTTGATTCAAAATCAAAACTAAATTCTCGATGGAAATGCACGAAGACCAAGTCCGGCAATGTAGGCTCGTCGTTGATTTGTCAAATTTTACCGACAAAAACATTGGATGGTAAAGCATGTGGCTTTCTCTTGGGTACAAGGCAGTCATAATAGAAATCAAGATAAGTAAAAGAGACCGACTTGGGCAAGGCTATGAAACTTGATTTGTGGGTATTCCAGTGGGTCGATGGGTGGCTAATTACTTTAATGAATAAGGAATGTTTATCCGAACAATGTATACAAAGAAAATCTGGCCAGTTGTCCATCAGTAAATAAATCATCATGATAAAAGTATAATTTATTAAAGCATCCATTTGTTACCGTTCTGAATCCAAATGATACATAGGTGCATCCATTTTATACATATATGTTGACGTTTACGAAATGTTTTTCTAATATCTTCCCTATAACAGGAATATGGTAGCTGAAACTTTCACACATTGTCATACTATGTATATTGAATATGTATGCAAGATTTCAAGTCACAATGTTAAGTAGAAAATCTGAGATCACTTACCTCGATTTGCTTTTTCCCTATAATGTACGCGAGCACCCACGATACATTACATATAAATGACTGCATCCACATAGATCGACTAGCCACAGTGTGGGAAAAGCTCAAATATATTTTACTGACTCTTCAATGGAGGAGGTAAGAAACTTTCATGTTCGAGAAATGATATGCTTAAATACAAGAAGTACTCTGTATCTTCAACTGAAAATCTCAAATTGGAACTTTATATGGATTGAGAAATCGAAGGTCACATTCCTGGGAGATCTACTGTTTGTACTTCACACCAAGTAAGTGGAAAGGTGGTAGGTCGAATTAGGGTTTTTAATACATTCCTTTCAGTTCAGCATAATTTTAAAAAATTTTCATGGAAATTTTTCAACTATCTTTGTGAGCAGAAGTATGTGTATTTGCAGGAGTTGAGTAACTATGTGTGTGTTATTGTGAACACTGTAGTATGCATCATACAGAACCAATCTCAACTCAAAGAGAAGGTAAGTACATTTATCCCATGCTTGGACGTGTTCCAGGTATATAAACTAGGTTTGTAAAACTTTTATTTATCCCATCGAACGGAGTTCGGAGGGATATAGGGAACGCCTCTGTCCATCCGTCTGTCCGTACGGGCAATAACTCAAATACCGTTGGCCCGATTTTGTTCATATTTTGTACACATATACCCTATGGAGGTAGAAGTTCAAATTTTCAAAATGGCCATTCATTTAAAAATGGGGGCCATTTTAGTGCTGATCTTACAATAATTTAGGTGCAATATGTAAAACTAATAGCAATATGTTTTAAATGTAAAAAAATTATATAGAACATTAATAAAGCTAGAAATCTAGATATTAAAGAAGCACATGGCAGCCATCTTGAAAAATGGCTGCCTTTATGGCTGCCTTTACTCGTTATTTGCGATTTTTGCTATAACTCTAAAAGTAGTGGAGCGATTTTGTTCATATTTGGTATGTGAATACTATAAGCACGGCACACTGTCTAATGACTTTTTTGGTAGAAGGCGGCCATTTTGAAAATTGGCCGCCATTTTAACATTAATAATTTTGACCAGTGTGTTTTTGTGTCATCTACCAGAGACTTATACAATGTACATGTAATAGGTTATTTATATGTCTCTAGATCTACATGTACTGACCTCAAGAAGTGATGACTTTGATATTTTTCAACACAATGGATTATATTTATCCCATCAAACAAAGTTAGGAGGGATATACATGTATGCATGATTTAAAAATGGTGGACTTATGGTGGATTTAAGTGCAGATTTTACAGTAATTATCCCAGCGAAAGCAGTTTGTCCATTCGTCCGTCTGTCTGTCAGTCCATTCCTCCGTTAGTTCATTTGTCTGTCCAGGCAATTACTCAAATACCGGTTGACATTTTTATTCAAATTTTATAGGCTGTAAGACCTCCGCTCGAGACGGAATTTTCATTATGGCTGCTTAATTCAAAATGGCCACCATTTTTGTGAAAAATTTAATCTTTAATTACACACATTGGCACTTTGGTTTATGATACTTTGGCTAGAAGGCAGCCATTTTGAAAATGGCCACCATTTTTATGTGTGTTATTTTACGTTTTTTAGTATACCTTTAAGGATTGCACACTGTCTTATGACACTTTGGCTAGAAGGCGGCCATTGGCCATTTTTATGTGTGTTATTTTATGATTTTTGCTTTAATTGAAAAAGTAGTAGACAGATTTTGTAAAAATGGCAGCCATTGCTGGTCGATGGGATTTGCTGTAGCTTTGGCATTGCTGTTATGGAATTATTTAATCTTTATCTTGTCTTTTTAGCTCACATGGGTGAGCTATTGTTATCACCCACTTGTATGTCCATCTGTCCGTCTGTCAGTCTGTCTTTCAACACATTGGTAGCTAATTCAAAATCCTCCACAGCAATTAAAAACTATTTTACTTTTAAAATGTGTCTACATAAGGTCGTCAATTGTTCCATAAGTAGTGTCTCTAAAGCTCCCCTTATTTCAAAATGGCAGCCATTTTTATTGCGCAAAAATCAGGTTTTCATCTCTTTTTTGGTTATCACTCCACAAGAAATACTAGATTTAAATTTTATTTGGTAGCAAATAAATATAATTCAGAAATAGCTAAGAAATCAATTATGCGCCAAGGCCAGACACTCTGGAATAATCTTCCAGCTGCCATTAGGAAACTTAATTCTTCATGCAAACTTAGGAATGATTTTAAAAAGTATATAATTGCCAAATATACAGATGAGTGATATTTTGTTATGTATTACTAGAACTACTTTTGATTGTCTTTTACAACAGTTCAATAGTTTAATGAGATTTTTGAAAATTATCTGAAATATATTCTATATCTCAATACACACCATTAAGTATTTAGGGATTTTTTTTTTAGTTTACAATGCAAAACATGCACATATAATTTAGTTTGTTATCCTGGTCCTAACAATATAGAAATATATTGAACTGGTATAAATGATATGAAAATATTTGTCATATTGTTGAGCATTCTATTAAGAATAGTGTCTCCCCCTTCAGAAAAATATAAACAAAGCTGAAAATGTAGAGTACCCATACTTTATGGGTAACACATAATTAACACATTGTCACTAACCATGCTCAGCCCATAACATCCACTAGGGCAGAGCATTTGTACTGAAAGGAGCGTTTTCAGTACAAATATGTACTGAAAAATGTACTAGTTTTGTTTCAGTACAAATTTAAGTATATTTTTGTACTGAAAAATGCACTGAATTTTTTTCAGTATATTTTTCAGTACAAATTCATGTACTGAAAAATATACTGAATTTTAAGTACAAATTTATTTAAGTATAAATATGTACTGAAAAATGTACTGAATTTTAAGGACAAATTTAAGTGCAAAAATATACTGAAAAATGCACTGAAAATTTAAGGATAAATTTAAGTACAAATATATACTGAAAAATGTACTGAAATTTAAGTGCAAAAGTCAGTATAAAAATGTACTGAAAAATATACTGAAATTTAAGGATAATTTTAAGTATAAATATATGCAATGAGATATATAAATAATGGAAATAATGGAAAAAAGAGAAAACGTAAATGTAAGGCATACTTTATAAACTCTAAATCACTCAAAAAGTTCTTAGAATGGTGAAAAAGTGCATGATTTTAAAAGAATTTTTGGCGGGGGGGGGGGGGCGGGGTTCGCTTGGACCCCCCCCCCCCCCAGGAATGCTATTACATTATGAAATTATTTTGGATGCTTCCTTTACAGCAGACTTTAACCAAACTTAAAAGAGTCTCTCGGTAATCAGGTTTGTTTTGCCTTGTCAAAGTATTTTGTTTTGTTAATGGATTAATATATTATATATATATATTTTTATTTTTGTTTAGACATATGCTTTTAGAACAGCAGCACCCTAACATTTAAATGCTAGGTGCATCTATATATACAAAATCACATACTATTAAACATTTAAACAGAAATTGCTAAAATCATACAGTTCTTGGTTTAAAAATTTTGACTAAAAACTGCTTGACAATTTTGTCAAGACTAGAATTAATATCATGCCCCCATTCCACATTATCACCAAGCATGGTCGTTAACTTTTGATCATTACTTGATGCAAGCAGTGTTGCACAAAGATCACTAGAGGCAAATGTATTAACATTACTATAAAAAACAGATCTTTCCTTGGTAAAAAAGGGACACAATAATAATCTATGATGCATTGTATCTTTCACTTCAAGTGTGCACAATTTACATATTCCATCACTCTTATCCCATTTTTCATAGTTTGTTTCTAAACAAAAGTTGTTACTTCTTGCTAAAAACTTTAGTCTCGCACCATAAAAATCTAGATCATCAGGCCCGTAGCCAGGATTTGCCAAGGGGGGGTTCAGTTTTCAAAAATTTCCAGGGGGGGTTCACATTTGACAATTTTGGCCCAAATATGGCTAAAATCACTTGAAAAGTGCTCAAAATGGTGAAAAACTGCATGATTTTGAAAGAATTTTTGGCCAGGGGGGGGGGGGGGGGTTTGCCCGAACCCTGCGAACCCCCCCTGGCTACGGGCCTGATCATTTTTCAAGTAGTTCTCTAGTTTGTAGTCAGATTTCACATTTTTGTAAATGTAAAGAGAATCATGATTTGAGATGCTCTCATGAAACTTTTCTAATCTTTGTGCTTTAGATATGTCTAAAAATGAGGAAAACCAATCGCAATCGTTTCTGTAAATAATATCATCTAAGCCCTTATTTGTAACACTTTTATGTATATTGGATATAAATTTCCAGTATGACTCTTTACCTTCCTTATAACATTGTAGTAATGACCTTAAAACTTTGTGAGGGAGAGAAGATGTAGGTAAATCATAATTGAGATAATTAAAATACTCTAGTTGTCTTTTTTCCAAAATGTCACACAATGGTTTCCATCCTAGATCACCTAGTAATGCTTCTCTTGCTGGCTTACTTTTAATTTGAAATAAAGTTTCTTTAGACACATCCTTTAAAGCAGACTCTAATCAAACTGGAGAGGCTAGGTTTACTGTAATCAAGTGTTTTCCTTTTAATAAGTTATGTTTTTGGATTTAATTATTTAAGACGCATCCTGTAATAATATCTGATTGCATTTTCTCCATCAATAAATTTCTTTTTAGCCCGATCAAACCTATCAAATATAATGCATATATAAGGGTTATGTACTGGGAGGTTTTAGATACCCATATTTCCGGAGGGATAAACCCGTTATTTAAAACCTTTTGAGGTTTCTAGATACATTCTACCTTATTAAGTTCTAAAATTCAAAAACATTAAAGGTATACATTTTCTCAGTCTTAAAAATAAGTTTTTCATGAGATTTTCACTCATATTACTTGAGCAAATTAATTAATTGATATCAAAATTAAAATATATAACATGAACATAGAACCTCATTTGTTCGAGTATAGCAAAATCCATGGTATAGATGTCAAAGTCAGGAAGATGTCGTAATTCAAAATCTAAGTATATTTTTCAGTATAGATTTACACTTAAATATGCCCTTAAATTTCAGTATATTTTTCAGTACATATTTGCACTTAAAATCACACTTAAAATTCAGTATATTTTTAGTATAAATATATACTGAAAAATGTACTTAAAATTTCAGTACATTTTTCAGTACATATTTATACTGAAATTTGCACTGAAATTTTAAGTATATTTTTCAGTACATATTTATACTGAAAAATATACTTAAAAATTTAGTGCATTTTTCAGTACATATTTGTACTAAAACGCTCCTTTCAGTACAAATGCTCTGCCCTAGTGATCTAGTTATTTTAAATTATGAGTATATCATTGTTTTAACATGTAAGTTTTAACCATAACTATTGGTTATGGGTAACATTATGGGTAACACTATGGGTTATGTACATATAAACCATAAATGACCTAATGAATTACCATTATTATGGATAACACTATGGGTAATACCCATAACATTTTTCTTAAGGGTATAT